AAAAAAAAAAGAAAAAAAAAGTAATTTTTACATTTTTTATTTATCTAATGTTATTTAAAAGAAAACAACAACAACAAAAAGCAACGCAACATTTCTCATCTATCAAAAGAAAAAAAAGAAAACTTTTATTATATGTCTAATTGTAAAAATGTAATGTAAAAAAAAAAAAAAAAAAATGTTATAGAACTTTCGAATAGTAATATAGGTTGGGGTACCAGATTATCAAGAAGAAAAAGATAATAATCTTCCATTCGTCAGACTTATTTCTCCTATATTATTACTTCGTTTCTTTTATTTTATTTTATTTTATTTTTTGTTTTGTATATTTTTTTTATAACAGTCTCCGGACATTAAATATTTTATTTTTTTTTTTATATATATATAAATATATTATACGCTTTATTCGATGAATAATAAATAGCACAATTTAAATCAAATCAATTTTTTTTTTTTCCAACGATTCTTTTTTTACTATATATATATAATTATTATTTATAATTGATTTATCGTTTGATATCTGGACCTGATTAATAACTAGTGATCTAAGAATGTTATTAATTTGTTAACCGTGGAAAAAAAAAAGTAATTATCATATTTACTCAAGGTTGAATATATAATTGAGATACGCTTGTATTTTGCAATATCATCATGATTAATGAAAAAAAAAAAAAAAACAAACGACGTTATATATTTTACTTTGTAAGATAAGTATAAATGTATATTTAACATTTACTGAGATCAATTCATTTCCTCGGTTAACAAATTGATATTTAACTTGAAAGCCTACGAGTTTGGGTGCTTAAGTATTGAAAAAGTGTCTTTAAAAGCATCCAATATTAGGAACAACACTATGATTAAGTTATAAATAAAGACAGAATAAGTCAATGGATTAAATCTGTCATTATGTAATGTATTTGTACTAACTTTTTATTTTACGTTTAATAAAACTCAAAATCGAATTTATATAAACCAATTTTTTTTTTTAAATCTTCATTTAGGAATGAATATCTGTACATAAGACGATATTCGATATTCTAATATAATAATAAATGTTCTCCACAATCGTAACGTAATATAAAACATCATCTTCTTATCCCCATTTAAAAAAAAAAAAAATTATACCACTATGTAATTAATCTTTAGCACAAAAGTTATTAATTCATCTTGTACATATATATATAGTCGTCTGTTTCTTATTTTAATATATAAATATATATATATATATTAAATACTCTATTCGAGTATTTAAAATGGCTCCTCCCCTATCCCGTAAAAAACTGTTTTACTACTAAATAACTTTACAAAAATTATATTGCTCTAAGTAGGATAACATGTGATACTTCTTTAAAAAAAAAGAAATTAAAAATAATTGTAATGAAAAATAAAAACATTTGTAAAAACAAGAAGAAAATAAAATCTTAGAATTTATAATAATCTAATACACTCTTTAACACTCGAAGTCATCACTGCGCATGAACAATAAATTTATTACATTAGAATGAAAAGAATGTTCAAATCGGAACGTTATATTATTAATTTTTCTTTATTAGAATTATAATTACGGTTGCAGACATAATCAACATAAGAAAAATCATAAACAACTTTCTAATCAAAGTTTTGTTTTAGAGAACAATGGGTCAGTATATAAGTGAATTTCGAAGAGGAAGGTACTCCGAAAAT